TGGTGAATTTGTTTTGGAGTTCAAAGAATTCATGCACAAGTTCTAAGTTTTTCACTCACTTCTGCTGGAAAGATTGGTCAAAACATTTTTCACCAGTTTTTTACCGAGAAACTTGAAATCATCAACCAGTGATGAAAGCACAACTCACTGGTCATTTCTGATTTCAACCTCGGAGTTTTAGTAGAGCGTATTCGCAGTTTTTTAGCCGAGATTTCCTGAGCATCTGGTTGGTTGAGAGGTGTGGAGCAGCCAATCAGGGTTCAAGAAAATTTCGGCTAGAAATCTATGAATACGCTCTAGTCACACCTCAAAATTCTAGATGACATTGGGTGACTTTCCATAAGCTTAAACAATCCTCTGAGCTTAGTTGAGGGTGCCAGTGGGAGACTTCCCATAACGATTCAAAAATGTTTTCAGCATATTTTGAAGCCTTTCCGACCAAACTCCGTGACAGCTGTCAGGACCCCATCAGTTGGGAGGCCCCGAAGGGGCAGGAATTTATTCGAATCTACTAAAATCTGAAGAGGGGGTACCCCCCCCTCTTCAGATTATAATAAAGCTGAATAAACTGTTTGGCGGAGTGACAATAGGTGACGATGCTTCCCGCCGTCCTCTACAATGTCCAAGTGGCCGATTTGCCCCAGGAAAAATTCAATGGGATCTCGCCGCATCTCGGAGTCCATTCCGGCCGGTCTTCTTCCAAAATGGCTGAAGTCAGATTGTGGTTTTTCATTCACGTGAAGCTTAATTTTTGGCGCGCAGGGTGATTATTCTAAACTTGGCCAGCCATCACTGGCACTCTCAAACAAGCTCAGAAAAACTGAAAGGTATTTTAATCGTTATGGGAAGTCACCCAGTGATGCCATCCAATCCTAAGATATTCAATTGCTCCGCTAAAGACAGTACTTCCCATAAGATAGAATAAAAAACTGAAGTCAAACCTCTTGCTCGAGCAGGGGCCGGGATAAGCTCCGGCACTTGTCAGAGGAACACTCCATTTTTCTGGGCCAAATCCGCTGGGTGCTTGTTGCCAACGAGCGCACAAAGTTGTTGCACACCACCTAGATTAGTTTATTCAGCCCAGTTAAATCTGAAGAGGGGGTCGCTACCCCTCTTCAGATTATAATAGATTTGAGTAAATTCTCACCGCTTTTGTGTCTCCGAACTGATGGGGTCCCGACAGCTGTCGCGGCGTTTGGTCAGAAGGCATGAAAATATGCGAAAAGCATTGTTTAATGCTTATGGAAGTCACCCACCCATTGATGGTTGGCACATGTTATATCCGAGTCGTCCAGAAGTCGGTACGGAGGGATATAGGGCCAGTCGAACTAACAACAGATACGAAGCGGAGCGGCGGGCCGGACAGAACGGAACCGGAGTCCGGAGGCGGAGCTGGTGAAAGGCGGACTGGATGACGCTACACCACAGAGGGGATAATTGGACGAGCGTTACTGCAGGATATCGTCGGAGGGAGAGAGATGACAGAGGCGGAGCTCCGGCGGAGTGTCGGAGCGGAACGACCAGACTACTTCACGAGGAACAGGGTGAAGCAACATTTATCATAAAACTGCAGTACAGGAGGATGTAAGACAAGATTAAATACTAGAGCTCCTTATTGTAATAGGTAAAGGAGATATGTTAGAAACCATGCGGACATAACAATAAAGGTAAGTCCGAAAGGGGAGGAAGAAGTCAGGTGACAAAAGGGACAATGTTGAAACAATAAGTAAGAAGTCGGAGGACTTAGGATAATAAGGAATGTGCGGGATGGCGTCTTCCCAAGGTGTCGGATGGTGGGAGTTTGTTCCGATGTTTTTGTCGGAGCTCTGATCGTTCCGTTACTCCTGCGGTCCGATGCGCTCTGAGAAGACGGAGCGCGATCGGAGCCGGAGGGACCGATCAGAATAGTTTGTCGGAGGTCATAATGCATGGATATAACAGCACATCTGCAAGCAGAAAGTGGGCCTTGTTGTTGGACCTCGCCACCGAGGCTTGTGCTCAATTCCCGCTGAAAATACATCCTGGCCTCATCTCTCCTCTTCCTGTGTCTTCCTGTAATGATCCAAATATTGATGATTTCGTTCTCGGGTGAACATTTTGTTCAATTATCACTGCTACTGTGTCATTGAATCCTACTCAAATCTCCACGTGCTGTGCAGTGCTATATCCGTGATGGGATTTGCAGCCCGACTGACTGACACGCCACGCCATCACGGACATCGGAGCACGACGCACGTACGTGCTACGGACGAACGGACATCCTCCGTGATCGGCATGAGCACCCACGAGGCCACGCAGTCAGATATATCGCCGCCCGGGAGCGAGAACATAACGACACCGGGCACCCGCAGAAAGTAAGTACATCGACCACCCGCAGAAAAGAATGCGCGTGAACGAGCGCCCAAAAAGGGAGGGAAAAACGACCCCAAAGAATAAGAGTTCCAAAAAAAAAAAAAAAAAAAGGTAGGGATCGCCGTGATAGAGTACTGGGTTCGCATATGCATGCCGGCGATGGCGAGGTTCAGAAAGAGAGAAAAAAAATGTAGGTATGAAGTCGAAGTGAAGAAAAGGAAAGTCGGAGAGTAGACAACACCACCCCCTCCAAGAAAGACAAAAGACAAATGAAAAGGGGACCAGAGGCAAGGGAAGGGGAAAACCAACTCGCGCGGGGCCAGTGCAGACGACGCAAACACGGATCCCCGCCGCGTGTGGCCGCAACTCCGAAAAAAGGAGGCCAAAGACAGCGAAAGCGCACCCCAAAACGGAAAAGAAAAGAAAAAAATGTATTGCAGAAACCAAGCTTAAGAACGCAAGAGACACGTCACACACCTAGAACCCCTGCCCGCTGTGAGGCTTGTGTTCGCGCTGCACTGCTCACACCGCCTCATGGCCTGTCTGGATGAGACTCGACGGCTCAGAAATCCCACTCACTCAAGATTCGCCCAATTAGGAAACGACCTTGCCTCATTCGGATCTACTTCCAACAACTCGTTACTCGACGATTCCAGTGTTTACGACGACTCGTACGAGCACCGAACCCGGCCAGGATGGCAACCAGGCACGCCAGGCACACTCGGGCTTCACGGGGAGACCTGACCACGCGCACCATTGCGACTTACGAACTTGCGCCATTTCCGAGCCCCCATACAACGTTACAAACGACTCTTGAGCGACCCTCGACGGCAGGATAGCCATGTATGCGACCAAACGACTATTCCCCCACGTCCTATCCACCATTATATCCTATTCCACCACCTTCCGACGACTCAGAACATCGCGAATCCCTTACGAACACTCGGAAACGGTGCTATTTCGGAATTTCGACACCTCTGAGTGCTCGTGAAGCTCAACGTCCGCGAATATCGGCATTCTGGGAGCTCAGAAATGCCACGGAAGGTCGAAAGAGGCTTGAGGAGCATGTGGAACGAGGCTGTGGACGCCGACGGGACGGACAACGTGACTGGCTTGGAAAAGGTATAAAAGGTGTCGGACGAATCGAGGGTAGTCAGTCAATTACTTGTGGACTTTCGGATTCAGTTCCCAGTCAGCTACCACAAGGAGACAGTTCCAGTCAAGGACTCTAGTCCAACGCTGAGTTCTTATCCTGACCTTGTACATCTATCCCCCAATTACATCCTCGAGTTGACCACCAACGTGCTTGTTCGTCACCACCGCCAAGGGACATTGTCTCAAGGATTTGCCTTTCATTTATACACCCGAGAATACTAACTACAGGTTACCGGACACCGCCAACGTCCCTTCCGAGCACTCGTAAAACCGCCTTCAGCCCGTCCCGAGCGCTCGGGTCTCGCACACACACACACACCTTCGACCTTCGACCAACACACACACTCGGATCCAACAAGGCAGACCACCTACAGCCTCACGTTCTATTAGGAACCAACTTTAAAGAGCCCTAGAGGACGAACCAGCCACTTTGTGATCCCACATATTCGCCTAGTGGCACCGCGGTCCTTATCACACCGCCCCACATGCCATACGGACTAAACTGCGCATACAGGCTGCCCGCCTGCGCCTGCCCCACGACGGGACTCTGCCCGCTCGCGGCCTGCTGCTGCTGCTGCTGCTGGGCCTGCACCTGCGCCTGGAACGCCGCGAGCGTGTTCGGGCTGATCTGGCCGCCCTGCTGGGCGCTGTTGGCGAGCGCGTGGGTGTTAATGCTGAGCTGTGGCGTGGCATAGAGCTGCTGCTTCTGGGTGTACTGCGCCTGCGCGGCAGTGGCGTTGGGCCCATAGCCGTAGTTTGCGTACGCGCTGGGGCTGGGGCTGGCGTTGTTGGAGTTGGAGGGGGAGGGGTTGGCGGCCAGTGCGGTGGTGGGGGACCATCTGGCCTTTTTGGAGTCGGGGCCCGTGGGGGTGTCCATTGAGCACTGCTTGCGTCTCGTCGTGACAAAGGGCAAGGGTTATCCAAGGGATTTGAAGGAAGCGAACAAAGTGAAGCAAGTGGCGAATGGCAAAAGGGAAAGGGAAAGGAAAGGAGACAACAAACAGATGAGAACCGCTGAGCTACGGAAGCATGATGGTCCATGCATTTCCTTTTTATCATGCCCTATCTTTGCCTTTGTTCAATGTTTCTGATTTGAACCAACCACTGGCACACCCGGGATTGCAACGAACACTCTGTTGAGGAGGAAAGACTGCCAAAAAAAAGGGAAAGGCGGAATGTAGGTCAGAAGAAGAACTTAATATCCAAGAAAACCAAAAAAAAAAAAGGCCGACGCCGACCGATCTTTAATGCCTCAGTGGGAATCGAACCCACGTCTCCTCGTCCACACCCGTTCAAACACACGCAATCATGATGCGTCGAGCCGATCCACAGAGGCTCTGGCATGTATGTTTGCATCCTACAGCTGTATGAATTATTATTTTAAAGCACCGACCCCTTCGCAGGCTTCCTTTTCTATATCAGAGTTTGCAAGAATTAGAAAAAATGAAATCAATAAAAAAGCCAAGAACAAACTCAACGCTATAATCGCGAAATACCTCCAGTGGGAGTCGGACCCACGTCTCCTCGTTAAACTTGGGAGCATTGTATATAAGATATCGAGGCGCTCTGACCGTTGAGCTACGGACGCATGATGCTGCACTCATTTTCTTTTGATCATGCCCTTTCTTTGCCTTTGTTTCTGATTTCGACCACCCACGGTCCAAGTAAGCGTGCTACTTGGTTGAGCCTGCAAAAAAAGTGGTATTTAGGGAAGAAGAAGAAGAATTTAATATCCAGGAAAACCAACAAAAAGGCCGACGTCGACCAATCTAATGCCTCCGACGGGAATCGAACGCACGTCTCCTTGTCAGCGCCCGTTTCGAACGCACACAGTGATGCAATACGTCGAGGCGATCCACAGAGGCTGAACGGCCAGTGGACTCTGGCACTATGTCTGCATGCTTCTTCCAGTGAGCTTCAGGTTGTATGAATTATTATAAACTAAAGCAGACCGACGCATTCCGGCCCTAACTTCCTTTTCTACATGACTGCATCGTTGTGGACTAAATAAAGTTCAATAGCCAGAATCAGAAAGAAAAAGTCGAAAAAGCGAAATGGGAATGCAACTATGAAATGCCTCCAGTGGGATTCAAACCCACGTCTCCTCGTTAAACATGGAGTCACTCGGAATAAGATATCGAAGCGCTCTAACCGTTGAGCTACGTAGGCATCAATGTAGTCTCGGCCTTTTGCTCTATACATACATATGTTTGAACAGTGGCGGTATCATATCACTTTCTGATTTCAACCACCCCACTGCCCGGAATTCCAACCACCAACACTCTGTTGAGCAGGAATGACTGCCAAAAAAAAATGTATTTATGGGAGAAGAAGAAGAATTTAATATCCAGGAAAAGGAAAAAAAATGTCTCACACATAATCTTCCAGTGCCTCCGCGGGAATCGAACCCACGTCTCCTCGTCAGCACCCGCTTCGAACGCACGCAATTAATGTGTCGAGGCGATCCACAGAGGCTCAGCGCTCAACGCCAAGGCCTTAGCACTCTATGTATGCATGCATGCTCCTTACAGCAAGCTTCAGGTTGTATGAGTTATTATATATAAAGCACCGACACCTTCCGGCCCTAACTTCCTTTTCTAAGACTATATCACTGTGGACTAGAAATTTTCAAGTCCAATAGCCAGAATTATAAAAAAGCCGAGAACTGGGAATGCAACTACTGTATATACTTTTTCGTTCAATTACTTGGGCCCTTGCCAGAAAATCCGATAAATTCAGAAAAAAACCTCAATCTCTTGCAGTATGCGCCCAGTGGGAGTCGAACCCACGTCTCCGCGGTAAATGTGGGAGCACTATCTCTAAGATATCGAGGCGCTCTAACCGTTGAGCTACGGAAGCATGCCTGTTTCCTGTCCATGTAAGGTAGAGGGCGTGGAATCCCGGCACCCTTATGTAAGCGGCCATCAGATGAAAATTCGGCTTGTTATACTGTCAACCCATGAATACTGGGGCTCAAAACTCTACAGCCAGGTTATAGTATGCTTAGTTTGAATGGGTTTGGCTGTTGAAATTTATTTTTTTTACTTTCCAAAAAAAAGTTATAATGGGTACAAAAAAAATATTTTGTTTTGTTTTCTGTGCTTTTGGGACTGAACGGCATACTTTTGTGAAAAAAAACGGCCGGCAGATTTGGGCAGCACAGCCACCGGCACACAGCGCGCCTTTTACACGTGTTTTCAATGTGTTTTCGGCGTGTTTTGACACAATTTTGAGCCCTTTTCTCCCTCCTTCACCCACCAACATGGCCAGACCCAAAAAGCGAACACAGCAGCTGCGACAAAGTGCCAGACATGCTACAGAATCCCGGGAACGAAGAATTGTAGATGATACTTCCTCTGATGCAGATCTGCCAGGCGCCCATAGTGAAGAGCCTTCTGGGGAACATAGCCATGACCCCCACTCTCCCGGCTCTGACGATGAAACCTGGGACTTTGATTTGGGCGATGAGCTGCCTGATTTAGATTGTGATTCAGATGATGAGTGCAACGAGCGCAACGAAATGGATGACCAGGTTGTTGCAGCACCTGAAATTACTGAGGAGAGTGAGCTCAAAAAGTTTGCCACTTTCCTCAGTGATGCACAAGAAGCTGCCCGAATTCAGGAGCGTGCACAGCAAACAAAGAGGCCGAAAAGATACAGGGGAGATTCCACCAAGACAAAATATCACCGGCGGAAGCTAGGAAAGGAGATGGAGGCAAAGGGTTTCCTCAATCTGTTCGAGTACATGAAGAAGAAGAAGGCCCCCAAAGAGCCGGAGGTTGTGGTCCAGCCAGCAGGGGGTGACAACAGTTCTGACCCAGCTGGTGAACATGAAAAGTTGTAAATGTCCTATTTGCAAGAGTTGGAGGAGGATGAACAGGAGGTCCAAGACACTGAGGAGGATAGTACACAGGTATGTTCTCTTTCCATTTTACCATTCCTGCTGCTGAGATTTATTAGAAATTTTCTGTCCCGCCTGTTGAGGAAGAAGAAATGCCAGATTTGGAAGAGTTATCGGACGATGATCCAGATGATGAACCAGAGGTCCAAAATTCTGATGGTGAAGGGAATGCTCAGGTAATTTTCCTTTCCTGTTTTCTGTTTTCTGCCCTAAAATCTATCAGGCTCAACCAGCAGATGCCATGGACCCGGTCAATCTCGCTCATGTTCGACTGCGAGAACTCTTAGAAGCAATTGAAGATCCCAGCCCAGAGACTGGTGCTGATCGTGTTTTGAACCAGCTGAACTACACTCACTTCCCTGCCCTTCGACGTGCATTGGCCTCCCTCAGCATCAAAAGCAAGGACAAAAAAATTGATGTCTTTTTCTGCGCCAGGTGGTTGGCACCTTAAACTTTATCTGGACTCTGGACTCTCATACACCTGGCGAGGGGCCAGTATGATTGTTGCGAAATCACAGGGCCATGGTTCCTATCGTGCACGGAGCATCCGTTCGTGGATACATGCCTTTTTAACTGCAAAGAAACTGCCATTACATCGCTATGGTCAATACCACTCCTCCATCCTCAACGACGAGGGTTTTGCAGATGCCATTAAACTCCACCTTCAGTCTGTTACCCAGACAGATGGGCACTTCAAAGCACAGGACCTTGTAGATTTTGTTGCCTCCCAGGAGATGCAGGAACTTTTGGATGAAGCCGGAATTCACAAGCGCCCAATATCTGTGTGGACTGCACGCCGCTGGTTAAAACGACTCGATTGGCGTTATGGTTATCGGAAAAATGGCATGTACATTGATGGACATGAGCGCGAGGATGTTGTGGCCTACCGTGCAGCATTTGTAAAGCGATGGCTGGAGGAGTATGAACCTCGCATGGTGTCCTATGATAATGATGGAAACCCAGTCAAGAATCTTGAAGGTTATGTTTTGACCGGGAAGTATAAAGGTAAGACACTGTGAATGATTGATTGGGGACTATTTCTTATCAGGAACTGTACAGGGCAACCATTCCAAATTATCCTGGTCACCCATGATGAATCAACATTTTATGCACATGATCGGCGGAAAGTTGGATCGTCACACAAATCAACAAAAGGCAAACCAGAACCAAAGAGGGAAGGAGAATCCATCATGGTCTCAACCCTGGAATGGGGCCGGCCTACACATGAGGACCAGTAACTTTTTTCTCTGTTTTATATACTCTTTTATTAACTGATGGCCGCTTACATAAGGGTGCCGGGATTCCACGCCCTCTACCTTAGTACCTCAGAGTGTCAAGGATTCTATGAACGAGGACCAACGACTGCACAGACGGAGCTTTGGTCAGAGCTAGCGCAGAGTAGGAACGAGCACGAGCGAGCTAGCAGGTGTAGGAAGGTGGCTAGTACCATAGCAGCTGGACAGACCCTGCTGAAGTCGATACAGTAGTGACCGAGGTGGCGCTAGCTGAGACAATGCGAAGGGACCAACTATAGGGGTACAGGAGTATACCCACCAGCAGGTCAGGTGATGGACGCAACACGATCCAAAGAGCCTAACAAAGACAAATAGCGGAAACAGTGAATTCATGGTGAGATGGAGCAGTGGATGAACGCTAGGATGTTCAGTCCGTAAGATAGCGGGGTGGAATGGCGTGATTATGAGCAAGCTGCACCGGGAATAGTAGTTCCGGAGTGGAGTTGCACATGGAGTTGCTCGGGTGCAGACTAGCACGCTGAGAAAGGCAATTATACCCAGTTTGCTGTCGAGATGGTCAGATAGTTGGCCAGCTGGGCAGGCCTAGACCAAGAATAGACCCGGCTCGTCTTCCGGAGGCGGTTGCATGACCAGAACATCGGCCTGTTTTACTCATTTCTCTTTACCTCATCATTTTCTCTCTGAACAGTATATAAAGCCTCATAAAATACCGCTAGAGACCAGTTCATGCCCCGCTCATCGCTCAGTCGATAAGGGTGTGCTCAGGCCAGTCGAAGCGGAGATAAAGTACCTTCTCTGTTGTAGTCCAGTCTTTAAGAATCGCAGCGTTGTTTGTTGGATCCAGAAGTAACTGTGTGAACCAATAAGTTGAAGCTTTGCGTTGGGAGGTTGTGAGCGGCGCCATTCTCCACATATAAATCAGGACCGAGAGCACAAGAGTTTAAGTTTGAGAGTTGCGGCTAGCTTTGTGGTGGACTTCAGTGGTAGCTACGCATTGGGTGACCAGGAAACGCCTCCTGTAAAACGGACCACGCCCGGCACAGCACTTTGGTAGAACTGCCAGTCGATTCATTGACCGACTAGTTGAGTTAAGAGAATACTCGGGGTCCTTAATAAGCCCAAGTGTAACAGAAAAGAGCTTGGATTCAGAGGAGTCTAAGTCGGCTGTTAGCTGCTAGCTAGCCAAGCCATAGAGGAAGTGCAGAAGAAGCAGCATAGCCCGTTATTGGGAGTTTTCAGATAGACACTTCATGATGGACCAGGAAGTCTTTCTTGATACTTTCCTCCTTTGTGTCTCTTAGTTATTTTGTGTTGGAGTAGAATATTAGTAAAGGTGTGCATCCCGGAGAATTCCGGGGGCAAAGGGGCAGGCTAGAAAGTGAAAAATGCGAAATTCAGGCCATAACATAATGATCACGTAACTGCATCAAATCCAAATCCAAATCTGCTGCCGGAGTAATCTTAGTAAGACAATACAGAATCCACGGCTCTCGGTATTTCTTTTTACTTCTCCCCAGTGGAACATGAATCTGAACTCCCACATATGTGCTTCCTATTCAGGATATACAAACCCTGGACCATCATCAGACAGGGCCTGAATCTTTTCAGAAACTTACCTATAGTCTTTTTTCCACACCAACAGTGAATTTTATTTTTGAAAGTTGATTATTGGAAAAAGTGCATTGGCCAGGACGCAAACCCATGCCTGATGGTAAGCCTGATGCAATAAGCGGACAATAAGCCGCCAACAAGTGGCCAATAAAGCGGTAACTGCTTATGAAAAGATAAGCGGTGGAGTTTGTCCCCGTGTGAGATGTCGCCGAGGCAGTTTTTGATGAAATTTCAATAGGGGATCACCGTGACTGCCCTCTAAGGTCTGGTGCAGTTTAATTTGGTAGGCGAGTACATGATTGTGTCACACACTACTTCCACTACAACTACCACTTGCATTTCGCTTGAACTAGAACAATTTCTGCGCTGTAACTTCACTCATTCCTATTGATGATTCTGGTACATAGGCACATTCCCCGTAATTTTCCGGGCCCTTTTCATGATGCGGGGTAATTGTCAACGTCAGTCCTTGTTCTCACTCAAAGTTGCTAACTGCGGGGTGAGAATATTTCAGGACCTTCACAAAAGTACCCCTCGGGTTTCTGCATACTAAAACTGGGTTGTTGTTCACCTGCACCGATCCTAGAGGAGGATCAGTGGTAACCAGAGTCACTAAATGCACTAGTTTGCCTCCCAACACAGTCTTTTCCGTGTTCAAACAGGAGGATTTGATCACCAAGAAAAGCCCACGTGTTCTTCAACCTGCAAAAGCGTATTAAACTCATGATGCGTATTGAGTATTAGACTTTTGGCATGGAAAATAATGTCTCAGACAAATCTATTACAATTTTTGGTTTGCGAAGACCGGTTCATTACTGGCCCTACTGCACTATTACGACCACAAAGATTCACACCATGTCACCCGTCACTCAAAGGTTCACCGGCACAGAGGTTCATTGATCGGCAATCAGTGAAATTACCATAAATGGATGCCCGGCGAATGGCGGAGCAATTTTTTTTGAGGTTTTTCGGCCTATTTGGGCTAGAAAAACCGTTTGTCACTGTCACCTACCCCAAATTGGTTCATTTCACGGGCATCCGTCACCCATCACCTGAACCTTTGGTCATAATAGTACAGTAAACTGCCAAAT